AAACATACCAGTCATCCTGAAGGTGCTACAGGACCAGATCACATTTTACTCTGTTGTACATAAAATCCCACTGCGTTCGAACCAACTTGTTGGTAACTAACAACAAAAAGTTCTGTGTTGGCAAGACTTCCACAGCTTCCTAGTTCTCTATAATTAATATTTTACTTGTTTAAAGGCTGTAATTTCTCTGTGATTTTCATAGTACTTTTAATTTATTTAACAACTAAGTTTCTCATTTTCCTGTAGCTCTATAGGCATGAAGTCTCACTGTTACATTTACCACTTTTAACTCAGCTTGAGTCCCTGGGTGGTGCAAGCGGTTAACATGCTTGACTGCTAACTGAAAGGTTGATGGTTCGAGTCCATCAAGGGGTGCCTTAGAGGAAAGACCTGGCTGATTTAGGAAAATCAGCCACTGAGAACCCTATAAACACAGTTATACTCTGACATACATGGGATAGCCATGAGTCAGAAATGACTTGACAGCAACTTTTTTTTTTTTTTTTTGTAAGCTGAGTCTAGCTCCTATCACAGTGCTGTGGGTTAATTCACCAGACTGCAAGGTCAGTTTGAACCACAAGGTCTACAGTTCAAGCTCAGAAGCCACCCCTGGGAAAACCTACACAGAGTAGCTACGAGTCAGAACCGACTTGAAGGCACTTAACAACAATGCCAACAGTATAAACTCAATAAACATTTCTATACAGGCTCTCTCTGAGATGGAATCATTAGGCAGCACTTAACAACAACAACTATTTATATTTGCCAAATAATTTAGCATGCATATGACTCCCAACGAGAAGGACTGGCCAAGTGGCAGCATCGATGGACTTAAGCGTGGCAACAATAGTGAGGTTGGCCCAGGATCGGGCAGTGTTTCATTCTGCTGTGCATAAGGTCTCTATGAGTCAGCACCGACTTGATGGCACCTAACAATAACAACCTTATATCTAACTGGATTTTAAAGAAAGGATCATAAACAAATAGGTTTGAATTGAACAGACTAAAACTAGTATCACAGTACACTAAGGATGCAATGCATTTACTCTTTGTTCAGGACTAAGTTCTGAATAAGGAAGAGGGACTCAAGAGCAAGTGATAAAGCCAATGGACCCAAGCATGTTTAAGGAACAACGAGAAACTCCTGCTTGAATGAGTCCTAGCAACACAGTAGGTTAAGCATTGGGTTGCTAACCTATCAGCCATTCTGAGGGAGAAAGATGAGGCTGTTTGCTGTCCTTAAGATTGACACTCTCAGAAACACTGTGTAGCAGTTCTACTCCATCTTATAGGCTCATTTTGAGTTGAAATCAGCTTGACAGCAGTGGATTAATAAGGTTATTATCAAAAGACTTTTTGTTTTTTTAGAAAAAGGCATTTAGTCATATGTCTGAAATCTAAACCGCACAAACTAGATGGCAAAAAAAATGGCATTACAGATTTCTAAGAAACTTTGTTCCTCATTTTCTGCTGAATTATTTTTCTTAGAAATCTCTGCCTCCAAATGTATTTGCTGAGGGGAAGGAAGCTTTACCACTACATCTGATTTCTAGTAATGTACAAACAGTAGACTCTTTGAGAATGAGATCTCTCATCTCCACCTTGAGATGTCATGAAAGGATTCACTGGAATCAACCCAGGTCCTAGAAAAACCTGCTTGAGTGACGGTGCCTTCCCCATCGCCACTCACAGGGTAATCTAGTTTTATTGTTATTAAGTGCCATTGAGTCGATTCTGACCCATAGAAACGTTGTATAGAGGTTCCAAGGAGCAGCTGGTGAGTTTTGAGTTTGAACTGCCAACCTTGCAGTTCAAATGGTTTTGGTGCATTAACACACAGCACCAGGCTTTAGGTGTGAACAAATGTCCTCAAAATACAATGGACATTTAGCCGAAGGGGAAATTAGCATTTGTAAGAATAGCTGCGAACATGTTTACTACAGTGGTTGATTCTCAGAATCTCTTGGTTGGCCAAATTTTCATTGAGCCAGTAATGATTCTCATCCAGGCCTCCTTTTCTAGCTGTGGAATTGAAAATCAAAGGTAAATATGCCAAAATGGGACTCAGGGGTATGGTAAGCATACCTGCCCCTATGGTGCCCTTGCTTCTAGATTCCAAAATATATTACAAACACCATGAACTCTGTGGAATCCTCTTTGATCTTCCTTCCTGAAAGCAAATGTAACTGTTTCCTCCCCAGGTCTTGCAGCAGTACTTTGGTTATATCAACTTATTCCCAGGATTTCTCATGTTCTAACCATGAGGCTCTAGACATCATTAGTCTCATTGTGGCAAATGCCATGTCTTTTTCTTTTTTATACCCCAGAAATCTAACAACAGGTATGAAGTTGGTTCATATAAACCCAACCCATTTGCATTCCCATTACAGGAACAGGATGCTTTGCACATAGTGTATACAAGGGACTCACTCATTTAACAAGTATTTACTGAATGACCATTGCATGCTAAACACTATTCTAGATACCAGAGATATCAACAAACAAGACAGCAGGGTCCCTGATCTCTGTGAGATAATTAGCAAATAAATGATTTAGGATAGTGATAATGTTGTTGTGAAGTGCTGTCAAGTCGGTTGAGACCCATAGTGACCCTATATAGGATTCTCGAGGAGCAGCTGGTGAGTTTGAACCACTGACCTTGTGGTTCAAGCCAACTTTGCAGCCCAGAGCATTAACACACAGCACAACACCAGGACTCCTGGGATAGTGATACATGCAATAAAAACAAATAAATAATGGGCAGTGGGAGAAAGTGATTTGGAACTACAAGGTGGTCAGCTAAGATCCCTTCTTTGAGTGGACATCTGATTGATAAGAAGGAGCCAGCCATAAAGGCCTGCCAGGGCAAAGTGCTCAAGGAAGAGGCACTAAAATAAAGCAGTGTTTGTTATTCATGGGTTTTGGGTGGGTTAGGGAGGAGAGCAGAAGAAGATGGTGTGGTTTTGTTGTTAAGTGCAGTCAAGTCAGTTCTGACTCACAGCGACCCTGTATAGGATTTCTGAGGAGTGGATGGTGAGCTTGAAGCACTGACCTTACGGCTCAAACTGACTTTGCAGTCCAGCACATTAACCCACATTGCCACAAAAGGACTCCAGAAGAAGGTGGTGGTGGTGGTTATGTGCCGTGGAGTCGGTTCCGACTCATAGTGACCCTGTACAGTGTTTCAGAGGCTGTAAATCTTTACGAGAGCAGAAAGCCTCATCTTTCTTCTGTGGAACAGCTGGTAGCTTTGAACTGCTGACCTTGCGGTTTGCAGCCCGATTGGTAACCACTACATTACCAGAGCTCCTTCCAGAAGAAGGTGTAGGTGGTTAATTCCTAATTCTTCCTCTGTCTATACCAGAGAAGGGTGCCACTTTTCCTCTCTCAGCAGGCTTTTTATTACCATTTCCCGATTCTTAATTCTGTTCCCTGTTTCACATTAAATTACATGAGCCTCTGCCAGCAGCAAATATACCTGGAGGGGAGGGAGTGCTTTTTTTTCAATATGGAATGATATAAAACACCAAGTTAAAAGCAGCTGAACATAGAGGCTAAGAATATTAAGATTCAGTTTTCATTATTATGTGCACTCAACTAAAGTTTATTTTTATGACCATTCCATTGTTCTGTCATCACTGATCTTAGTCAGAAACTGTATCAGAGAGCCGGTCCTTTGCTCCTTTCTATTTCATGCTGTTGTTACAGTGTACCATCTAGTCAATTACACAGTAGAAATGTTCTAGAGAGTGTCATAGACTAAAACGGAGCAAATTGCCAGGTCTTTTCTCTCATGGAGCAGCTGATGGGTTCAGACTGCCATTGGCAGTCAGGTGTTTAATCATTGTGCCACCAGGGTTCCTTAATATTTCTTATGGTGGTGGTGGTGATGTGCTGCAAATCTGTACGGGAGCAGAAATCCTCATCTTTCTCCCGCAGAGCAGGAGGTAGTTTCAAACTGCTCACCTTGCAGTTCACAGCCCGATTTGTAACCACTACACTACCAGGGCTCCTTGATATATCTCATAAGAAACCCTATTTTGAGGTAAACAGCTTTAGCCTATACCCTAACATTAACAATGGAGTCCTGGTGTGGCGCTATGGGTTAATGTGCTGGACTGCGAATCGGTTTAAACTGCAAGGTCGGTGGTTCAAGCTCACCAGCCACTCCTTGGAAACCCTATACAGGGTTGCTATGGGTAGGAACCGATTCAAGGGAATTCAACAACAACAAAATTAAGTATGGAGTTCTGGTGTGGCACTGTACGATAAGCATTTGATGGAAAGTTTGGTTTGAACAGTAAGGTGGTGGTTCAAGCTCACCAGTCGCTCCTCAGAAACCCTATACAGGGTGGCTATGAATCAGAATCAACTTGATGGCACCTAACAATAACAACAAATATTAAAAATCATTTGTTTGTAAACTTGTATATAACTTATATTTTCCAAGATAACCATAAATATGTCAGTAAGGAGCTACCTGGGAATCCCTGGGTGGCACAAATGACTAAGCACACAATGAGTAGCCAAAAGATTGGCTGTTGAAACCCACCCGGAGGCTCTTTGGCGGACAGAACAGGCCTGGTGAGCTGCTTCTGAGAGGTCACAGCATTGAAAACCTTAGGGAGCATTTTCACTCTGAACACAGGAGTCCCCATGAGTCAGAATCGACATGAGAGCAGCAGCTACCAGCAATAAGGACATGACTTATTTTAACACTACCACAGGTGACGTTCCTTCATGGGCCTCATTGTCTGCTTCTTGTTGAGTATGTGGTCAAGAACTGTAGTCAATTCAGAAAAGAAAAAGAAGCTATTTTCTGCACCATGACCAGATTGTCCAGATGTCATGCCTGGAATATATCAAAAGTGACATTTCTAGTCATGTTTCCAATCATTTGGAACATACAGATTTTCCTATGCCATCTGCAGAATTTCTGGATACTTTGAGCCATGCTGTCACCAAAGCTCAGAAAAGGAGTTACACTGAACAAACTCTACCTGATGTCGTCTTCTGTTCCAACTCAAGGCATTTAGGTTCTTGAAATTCCTCTTCTTCCTACATTCCAGCCCGATGTGTTTAAAAAAAAAAAAACAGGGAGAATTTTTTTTTAATGTATTAATTTATAACAACATTTTTTGCAAACCAACTAAACCTACTAAGTACAGATTACTAATTCAGATCAAAGGAGTTCTGGTGGCATCGCTGCTAAGCACTGGACTGCTAACTGAAAAGTTGGTTATTCCAACCAACCCAGTGCCTTCACAGGAGAAAGATGTGGCAATTTATTCCATAAACATTACAGCTTAGAAAACTGTAGGGTGGAAGTTCTCCTCTGAAACCCATGAGGCTTCTGTGAGTCAGAATGGACTTGAAAGCAACTGAATAAAAAATTTTTAAATCTAATCAAGATCTGAAAGATTGGACCAAGAAATGAAGTTGTGAACAAGCAAACACTTAAACAATAGATATTGTGTGATATAGTTATGGGAGTGCCTGGTTATATAACTCCAGGGTGTCATTGACATGGGAGTGTCTGTAGATGTTACCGCTGAAGTAGTCACAACCCACTAGCCTTCTGTGATTAGTACTTTGGGGGACTTCAGTTACTTTAGGCCTTGCTAGTGTTGTTGTATGCCATAGAGTCAGTTCCAATTCTTAGCAACTCTGTATAGGGTTTCCGAAAGCAGGTGGTGGTAGAGGTGGGGTTACCCAGGAGAGAGAAATTCTGCCAATAATGTAGAACAAAGAGAGCTGCTTTATTTTTCATAATTCAAGGAGCTGACGACATGGCACTTTTGAAAGTACTAATACAGTTCATGGTTATTTTCATCTCTGGGAAACTGGGGTTGAGTTATGGTATGATGTTCTTTAAGCTAATAATTGCTTTTTCTCCTGAGTCACTGATGGGTGTAGTGCAGGCTAGGAATAAGGAAGGTAAATAAAGAGGAAAGTCTAAATGCTGCTTTCCTAATTTTGTCTGCAAGATGACTTTAGACTGATTCATTTATTTATTTTCCTTCATTGAACAAACATTTGGTGAACGTGTGTCATTACCATTGGATCTTAATCTTTAGAAGAGATTCCTTCTAGCAAGGCTTGAATTATATTTGCAAGCAGTAATTACACAGTCCCGTTTATAGCCTAGTACACTTCTTATACATACTTTGTTCTTCCTAAAAATTTGCCAAATTCCTGACTATAGTAAAGCATAAGGGTGTGAGTTTTCCATAAATAATAATAATTGAGGCTACTTTGTGACCAAAGCAGAACCATGGAACTCAAAATTGGTATTATAAATCATAAGATCATTCCCAAATTTGCTCTAAGTTTGCCGCCTCCTAGGCATATTCGTCATCTAGTGGTGCTATAACTGAAATACCAAAAAGGGATGATTTTTAACAAACTGAGATTTATTTTCTTACAGATTAGGAGGCTAGAAGCTTGAATTCAGGATGCTGGGTCTAGGGGAAGACTTTGTCTTTCTGTTGGATCTGGAGGTAAGTCCTTCCTTATCTCCTAGAACTTCTCTTCCTGGGTCATCTTCATATGGCTTAATATCTCTCTTCCCTCTTTTCCTCTTGCTAGTTTGCTTTTAATCTCTTTTAAACCTCAGGAGAGATTGACTCAAGATCCACCCTAAAGTAATCCTGTCTCACTAACATAACAAATACCACCATTTCCAAATGAGATTGTAACCACAGCTACATCATGTTGTTATCCTTAGGTGCTGTCTAGTCAGTTCCGACTCATTGTGACCGTATGCACAACAGAACAAACACTGCCAGGTCCTGCACCATCCTCACAATTGATGTTATGTTTGAGACCATTGTGACTGCCACTGTGTCCGTCCATCTTGTTAGGGGTCGTCCTGTTTTTTTGCTGGCCTTCCACTTTTCCAAACATGATGTCCTTCTACAGGGTCTGATCCCTCCTGACAACATTATCCACAGTTCAAGAGATGAAGTTTCACCATCGTGGCTGGAATTCTGCCAAGACAGATCTGTTTGTTCTGGGAGTCCATGGCATTTTAATATTTAATAATCCACACAATGCACTGATTCCTCTACAGAATTCTTATTCACTTTTTTTTTTTTAACTTTTACATGAATACAAAGTGACTAAAAATACCATGGTTTGGACCAGG